GAGGAGAAGAGAAAGAGAGAGGCAGGAGGCGGAGGAGAGCTGAGAGAGAGATAGGGGGAGGCAGTAGGAGGAGGAGGAGAGAGAGAGAGAGAGAGACAGAGCAAGAGATCGGAAGCTCAGGAGAGAAGTCTGACGTGGAGGAGAGACCTGAAAATCCCGTCTTATGACGGGCTAATTGGCTAGTTCTTTAAGAATGGCAACATACAAAAAAACAGCAGGAGAGAACTTTAACTTCTACGGACACACAGTTTCTTTCTTGCAAGTTGCCATTTTCAGGCAAAAATAAAAAACTTCAAAACCAGACTGCATTGAGAAACCAGCTGAGCTGGAATTCATATCCAAATTTGATACCCTGAAGAAAAGCTTTAAATAGAAACACGGAGTGGTTATCACATTACAGACAGATTATTTCTCATTGAGGTACTTTCACCTTCTCATCACTATTGGAGATGAGCCACATCCACTCTGATTTAATTAGCACTGATATCACACTCCTATCTCTGTATCCTTTCCTGTTTTCTTTTCTCTTCTGCATCGGAGGAAGTGAGTTCTAGTTCACTAAAGCTAACGCCCCAACAACATTTGTTAGCCTTTAGACAGTTGTTTTTGCTGACAGACTAAAACTGCTACCCCTCTGAAATCAGTTATTTCCGATTAAGTTACTGTCACACAACTGCTTATCATAAATCATTTTATTTTAAAAGCTAATTCACAATCTGAATGTTTCATGACTCAAGAAATTAACAAAGACAGAAAACAGGTTCATAAACTCAGTCTCAAATTAATTTCTTACTTGATTGACAGGACTAACTCATTTACCTCAACATCTAGTCCAAGCTGAATAGCAAAATTCTCAGCTTCGGTAAACTTGTGCTTATGAAGTAAGCGACTTAATCTAGGAAACAAAATTAAATAAAGTGTGATAAGGTATCAAAGTTATATAAAGAAAAGCAAACTTTAAATAAAGAAAAAAAAATATACCTGTTTTCTGGCAAGGCTTCTGTTAAACTTTTCAGTACCAAAACAGACACTGGGTTTTCAGGGGATCTGAAAGATTATAGCCATACGTTCTCATAATTCCATAAAGTAAGTAGACACACTCATATATGACAGTTATCTAATTAAAGGCAAACATGACTTACTTTTGGTGAGTTTCATTAATTCCTTCTAAAAAGTATACTGTACCCTGTAATAAACAATTATTAGAAACTAAAGTTACAAAAAAAAAAAAACCAACGCAGGAAGCACAAAGCAACTAGCAATACTGAAGAGGTTATTAATTTGGAACCTAGCTATTTCTTTTATAAAATATATAGGGCCTTACCAATTTCACTGTCCATTTTGGGAAGTTTCATGGTCATTGTAAATATCATGATTTCAGACATTTAAATATGAAGTGTCCCAGTGCTGTAATCGTAGCAGTCCTAACCCAAGGAGGAGTTGGAGGGTTCGAAAGGTAGGGTAGGGTTTGCGGTATCCTTACTTCTGCACTGCTGCTGGCAGCAAAGCTGCCTTCAGAGTTGGGAAAGCTGGGGTGGTGGCTGCTGACCAGGAACTCAGTTGTGAAGGGAGAGCCACCACCAACAGCAGCGCAGAAGGAAGGATGGCATAGTACGGTTGCCACCCTTTACTTCCACCCTGCTTTCTAGAGAGCTGGGCCCTCAGTTAGCAGCTGATCTCTGACCACACAGATCTGAAAGCAGCACAGAAGTGTGGCAATACCAAAACTCCCTGAAAATAACCTTACAACCTCCATGAAATTTCCTTTTGGTTCTAAACCATACAATTTGAGAAACACTAGTATTATATGTGAAATCTGTATAGGAGTATGAGCTTTTACTCTAAAGACCAGATTTCATGGTCCATGACATGTTTCAAGTGGCCATGATTTTAGTAGGAACTCACCAATAACCCATCTTCTGCTGTCTCATGCTATTTTAAGTCATCCTGGACAACACAATCCAAAACTTAAGATGGCCTAAACTTAATTCTTTCTACCTCATTACCTCATCTCAATTACTGCTGACACTTTCATTCTGACACTCAAGCCCTCAATACTAGTGTGATTTCTGACCTTTTTTTTCCTCCTTCACCACCATCCAGGCCATATCAGCCCATCAGAGATGGCAATTTCCTGAAGCATCCTTGGAAGGCATTACTGAATTCAAGTTTAAATATATGAGGTCCAATGTATTAAATCAGGGGTGACCAACCCATTTAACAAAGAGACGAAACAGCAGCAGAAAAAAAATGCAAAGAGGCGCACCAGAATTGTCATGCCTCCCTCCCCGCCCCAAAAAGGCTGTCCCTTAAGAAGCAAGCAAGCTTAGGCTTTTTTGTCCATGCCAGGCTCCTGTAGACAGCTGCCGTCTCAGGCACCATTTTGAATCGCCAACCCAGTGAGCACAGGAGAGCCAGCGAGGGGGCCCGGGGCCATTTGGGGAGGGGCGCAGGAGCAGTGTTGCAAGCCGCACTTTTGGGGGCAGGAGGGAAGGGGGCGGAGCCACATGCAGCTCATGAGCCATGGGTTGGCCACGGCTGTTTTAAATTCACAGTTTGTGTGTTAGTTAAGGCCACCATCGTATGTAACCGCTTTGGGGATAATGGGATGCAAGACCTGGATGATCAAAAGGAATATCCTGATAATATGCCCAACAAGAATGGACATTTGACACAATGTGCGTAAGGTAGATTTCCTATCTAGGGAGAAGTAAATGCATATTGCCTCTCTCTTGCTGTACAATATACATTTCAAGATATGCTTCCCTACAGAAGTAGAGTTTTGTCTGTGATTCACCTATTACATGATGCCACGATCAAAAGCCCAAGCAATATAAAGAAAACATCACAATATTCATGATTACTGTGGTTCAAATATGACTATGATGAATTTATAACAATGAGACAAACAACTGCAGGTTTTTCAAGAACATCTACTAGAGTCTAAGGTTGGAGTTGGAGTGATCTCACATGCTTTTTAGCATATCTCTAGGTTTTCTTATCTTATAGTTAGAGGGTTTGGAATGGGTCCCATATGAAGAGAGATTTAAAAAAACTTGGACTTTTCAGCTTAGAAAAGAGGAGACTAAGGGGGAATATGATGGAGGTCTGGTGTGAAAAAAGTGAATAAGGAAAAGTTATTTAATTGTTCCCACAGTCATAATAGGCATTAACTAACTAACAATACAAGAACTAGGGGTCACCAAATGAAATTAATAGGTAGCAGGCTTTAAACAAACAAAAAGAAGTTTTTCTTCATGCAGTGCACAGTCAGCCTGTAGAACTTCTTTCCAGAGGATGTGGTACAGGCTAGGACTTCAACAGGGTTCAAAAAAGAGCTAGACAGATTCATGGAGATTAGGTTTATCAATGGCTATTAGCCACGATCGGTAGGAATAGTGTCTCTAGCCTGTTTATCAGAGGCTGAAATGGATGACAGGAGAGGGATCGCTTAATGATTCCCTGTTCTGTTCACTCTCTCTGAGGTATCTAGCATTGGCCGCTGTCGGAAAACAGGATACTGGGCTAGGTGGACCTTTGGTCTGATCCAATATGGCCTTTCTTATGTTCTTAATGTTTTCTCTAATGTTTTCACCCCAGGAATAAACACCTCCTTTGAAAAGAGCTGTGTGGTCACTTGTGACTGCTGATAATTATTAGGGATGTAAAATCCTGTTTATCTGATTACAGGGGGATAGCTCCAGCAGGGTCACAGGAATTATAGCTGCTCATAGCCTCTGGAAAGAAGTGATGTGCAGATGCTGGCCTATTTAAGCAATCTGACTCTCTGGGAATATCACACTGTAGACAAGAACTTTGCAACCGGGGGGGAAAAAAAAAAAGTCAGGAGGGAGACAGACGTGGGGGTCTAAACTCCTGGCTCTTGGTAGAATGGATGACCTAGGAGATCATGAAGAAAAATACGGGTGCAGTGCCCCTGAACTATGACAATTTTATTTCTTCCTTCACAGCAGGGATCAGTGTTGGGACCAGTTCTGTTCAATATCTTCATCAATGGTTTAGATCAGGGGTTCCCAAATTTTTTGACAAGGGGACCAGTAAATCAATTCACGAACTTTTCGAGGACCACTAACATTAATTTGCATATTCATTAAACAAATTATGAATATTCAAATAAGTTGTTTCTGGTCCTCCCAAAGCCCCCAGTGCCAGCTTTAGCAAAGCTTTTGATATGGTCACTCACAATATTCTTGCCATCAAGTTAAAGAATATGGATTGGATAAATGGACTGTAAGACAGACAGAAAGCTGGTTAGACCAATTTCCCAAACTTTTTACTTTAGTTGGAACCCTTTCCCCCCCCTCCCCCCAGTACTGTTTTTTGCAGCCCAAAAATATAAACACATAAAAAACAAACTGAGAAAGTACCAGGCATATAACATGTCTGGTATTTTCTCACTAGGTATGTTTTATTATTACTAGATGTATCAGTTTGTAGTTTCAAACTGCCTGGCTGCTAAATGTGCTCAGGCTGCATGAGTGTGTCTACCAGCCAGCCAGTTCACAACTACTCGAGGGGATGTGCGTGGCGGGGAACAATAGAATCCCTGGGCTGGACTAACTCGTGCTTTGCGAGGGGGAGGGGGAAGAGGGACAGCACCCTGAGATCTGCATATGTCCGGGTCAGTCCCTCTCCCCTCCCCCGCT